GTAATAATTATCTTGGTATTTTGGATGAACAGAGTTATTTTTTTTTTTTGAGGCTGAATGCGCTGACGTCAGTCAGGGGAGGGACTTAGGAGAAAAATAAAATATGAAAGATAAGTTTTCCTCATAGAACCGCATCAGAGGGTCACATTTAACGTTGTTTAACAGTTCAAACTTAAATAAAGGATGAATCACCAGCAGGCCAATAAATGATGAGTCATTAGTTCCCGATTCAGTATTAATGACTGACCAAACATTAAGCAATCATTCAGGAAGCGTCAGCTAATAAAGCAGGTTTGGGGCCGGGTGTGGTGGGCAGTCAGGGCCAGCACAGCCTCTGCTGGACTAAACGTACTCACAAACGTAAACGTATTTTTTTCCTCTGGTAAATATTTTTAAATGAAAAAATGTTCACTGGTCTATTTTCTTTATATCCTATTATACCCACTTGGCCGCGCTGCTCCAGTGTGAAAACCAAGCCCCCCCAGTGCGGGACAGAAATTGAGTCCAACGCCGAAGTGACAAAAATTGCAGTTCCACCCTCATCCACTAGGACGAGAGCGGAACATCCACTAGGACGAGAGCGGAACATCCACTAGGACGAGGGCGGAACATCCACTAGGACGAGAGCGGAACATCCACTAGGACGAGGGCGGAACATCCACTAGGACGAGGGCGGAACATCCACTAGGACGAGGGCGGAACATCCACTAGGACGAGAGCGGAACATCCACTAGGACGAGGGCGGAACATCCACTAGGACGAGGGCGGAACATCCACTAGGACGAGGGCGGAACATCCACTAGGACGAGGGCGGAACATCCACTAGGACGAGGGCGGAACATCCACTAGGACGAGGGCGGAACATCCACTAGGACGAGAGCGGAACATCCACTAGGACGAGAGCGGAACATCCACTAGGACGAGGGCGGAACATCCACTAGGACGAGGGCGGAACATCCACTAGGACGAGGGCGGAACATCCACTAGGACGAGAGCGGAACATCCACTAGGACGAGGGCGGAACATCCACTAGGACGAGGGCGGAACATCCACTAGGACGAGGGCGGAACATCCACTAGGACGAGAGTGGAACATCCACTAGGACGAGGGCGGAACATCCACTAGGACGAGGGCGGAACATCCACTAGGATGAGAGTGGAACATCCACTAGGACGAGGGCGGAACATCCACTAGGACGAGGGCGGAACATCCACTAGGACGAGGGCGGAACATCCACTAGCACGAGAGTGGAACATCCACTAGGACGAGGGCGGAACATCCACTAGGACGAGGGCGGAACATCCACTAGGATGAGAGTGGAACATCCACTAGGACGAGGGCGGAACATCCACTAGGACGAGAGCGGAACATCCACTAGGACGAGGGCGGAACATCCACTAGGACGAGAGTGGAACATCCACTAGGACGAGAGCGGAACATCCACTAGGACGAGGGCGGAACATCCACTAGGACGAGGGCGGAACATCCACTAGGACGAGGGCGGAACATCCACTAGGACGAGAGTGGAACATCCACTAGGACGAGGGCGGAACATCCACTAGGACGAGGGCGGAACATCCACTAGGACGAGGGCGGAACATCCACTAGGACGAGAGTGGAACATCCACTAGGACGAGGGCGGAACATCCACTAGGACGAGGGCGGAACATCCACTAGGACGAGAGTGGAACATCCACTAGGACGAGGGCGGAACATCCACTAGGACGAGAGTGGAACATCCACTAGGACGAGAGTGGAACATCCACTAGGACGAGGGCGGAACATCCACTAGGACGAGGGCGGAACATCCACTAGGACGAGAGTGGAACATCCACTAGGACGAGGGCGGAACATCCACTAGGACGAGAGTGGAACATCCACTAGGACGAGGGCGGAACATCCACTAGGACGAGAGCGGAACATCCACTAGGACGAGGGCGGAACATCCACTAGGACGAGGGCGGAACATCCACTAGGACGAGGGCGGAACATCCAGTAGGACGAGGGCGGAACATCCACTAGGACGAGGGCGGAACATCCACTAGGACGAGGGCGGAACATCCACTAGGACGAGGGCGGAACATCCACTAGGACGAGGGCGGAACATCCACTAGGACGAGGGCGGAACATCCACTAGGACGAGGGCGGAACATCCACTAGGACGAGGGCAGAACATCCACTAGGACGAGGGCGGAACATCCACTAGGACGAGAGCGGAACATCCACTAGGACGAGGGCGGAACATCCACTAGGACGAGGGCGGAACATCCACTAGGACGAGGGCGGAACATCCAGTAGGACGAGGGCGGAACATCCACTAGGACGAGGGCGGAACATCCACTAGGACGAGGGCGGAACATCCACTAGGACGAGGGCGGAACATCCACTAGGACGAGGGCGGAACATCCACTAGGACGAGGGCGGAGCATCCACTAGGACGAGGGCGGAACATCCACTAGGACGAGGGCGGAACATCCACTAGGACGAGGGCGGAACATCC